CGCCCTCGCCGTCGTTGACTGCCATGGCGGGTGCGCGGCCTCGCTTGCGTTCCGTCAACGTCGTCCGCACGCACTGGTCGTCGCTCCCGTCCGTCTCTGCCGGGGGAAGCGACGGTGCACGTGGCGCCGGGGATGAAGCAACCACAGCGGTTGCCACCGGTTCTGCGTCGCGGTCTGCGTCGTTGTCGCTGGGCTGCAGAGGAACGGCGGGAGAGACGAGGCGCTGGTGCAGCAGCTGTGACGGCACCGGCGTGGGCGAAGGAGCACGTGGCACGTACGGCTGCAGCACCGTCGTGTAGGGCGAGTCCGCCGCGGGAAGGGAGCAGCGCAGCTCCCGCCACACGCGCTCCGCCTCCTCGCGCACCACACGCCGCTGCCAAACCTCAGGGGGCGTATAGCAACACGCGGACCAGCACACGAGCCCCGCCGCCCACGCGGCACAGAGGCATTGCCACACGCCGATGCGCAACAGAAGCCACACCTCCTGCCCCGTCCACCGTTGCAGTAGCGGCAGGCCGACGGTGCTCAGCAGCGCAAGCGCCATGGCAGGCAGCCGGGCGGCGGCAGTGTGCGGGAGACTCGTCGCGACCAGCACCGCCGTCATCCATCCCAGCACACACAGCACCCGATACCACGAGAATGACTGCCGTGCCAGCAGACGTTGAACGTGGTCGACCTGCTCCATCAGCTGCATAACGCCCCTCGTTTGCTCTTCCATCACCGCAAACTGCCGCAGCGATTGGTGACTGAGGGCCTGCACGGAGGTCAGCGCCTCTTCAGCGGCTTCCTGGACGTGCGTACGCAGCTCCCCCAGCGCCGCGTCGGTGCGGGTGCTCGTGTGAAGGATGTCGTCTGCGGCAACGCGCAGTGCCTGGAACGCGGCGGCGTGCCCGTGGTGCAACGCGTCCAGCTGCTGCTGCAAGGAGGTAGTGGCTGCCTGTGCCGCACGCTGCAGCGCCTGCGTCTCTCGCGCCAGCGTATAAGCCTCTGCCCCAGACTGCTGCAACACGCCCAGGACTTCGGTGTTGCCCTCCACTTGCTGGAGCATCGCCGCGACGGCGGCCTCGGTGCGCTCTTGATAGAGCTCTTCTTGCAGGTACGCACAGAGTACATCGGCGTGCAGGCGGTACTGCAGAAAGGCAGCGTAAGCCGTGTCCGAGAGGCCCCGCACACACGCGCGGATACCGTCGGCTGACAACTCCGACGGCGCAGTCGCGGTGGTGCCGCAGTGAAAGCTCGGGTGCACGCGGCCGTCGCTGTCGGCGTCGCAGGTGGCCATGAAGAGAGCCAGACGACTGCGCATTGTGTCCTCCCTCTGCACCTCGGCACACTTTGCGTTCAGGTACAGCAGCGAACGCTTCCAGCACGGGCTCAGCCGACCTTTGGCCTCCACCTCTTGCCACAGCGCATGCGCCTGCCCCACACGCTCCGCCTTGCCAGGAAAGGAAAGGGCTGGGTGCGGCACAGCCGTCTTGTCCGGCTTCCCTCCATCGGTGGAGGGGACTTCCGCCGTCGAGCTCCGGCCCATGCCCAGAAAACGCGGCCAGGCGTAGGCGAGGGAAGGGGCCTCGACAGCACACACCCACAGCCCAAGCAGCACCGCGGCGCACAGATGCCGCACAAGGAGACAGCGAAGGCGAAGAGAGACACCCATCAGCATTGTGACGGAAGAAAGGTTGAGGGGAAAGCGTTGTGGGTATGGGTCTGAGTGATGTATAAGCTGTTAACGCAGAGGACGATAGAGGAGGAGGAGAGGTGAGGGTAACGCACCATCTATAGTTGTGGCGTCCACGTTTGCGGTGCCGTCAGAGAAGGAGCATAACGTGCCCACAAGACTGTTGTATCGCTGTGTCAGTAGCAGGAAGAGTCACACAACCCGAGAGAGTAGATGTCCCGCCACACAGTCTGCAGTTTGATTAGTGCTGAAACGGTGAGGATCTGCACACTTCTTCTCCGTTCCTTAGACGGTCGTGCGATTCGGAGAGCACTTTTCCATTGTCTTTAAAAAAAAAAGGCTTCGAGTTCAGCAAGACGAACATGTAAAAGCGCGCCATCCCGCCTCCCCGTCGACAGCATAAGTTCACTTCGATTCGCAGTGGTCGTTCAACGGCCGTTGCTCTGTCTTTTTACGCTCCTGACCGCCACCGCCGCCACGTGTCTTCGTTGGCAGCGCCCTCACCTGCGCAGTCGACGGACGTACCATCTTCTCCAAGGCGGCCCGGTGACCAAAATTCATCAGCAACCACGCATCTGTATCGGTGAGCAGCTGCCAGACACAACTCAGCTCACGGCACCGGCGCTGCTGCAGCTCGCGTTGACCCGCAGCTGCCTGTGCGCTCCATTGCATCTGGGCAGTGTGAATGGAGATGACGTCCGTGTTGTGGTACTCTTGCGTTTGTGGGGAGTGGAGGGCACTCTTCACCCATTCCACCAACAGCAACGAGACGGCGGGCGGGATGGGCTGGCGTGGCACGACGCACGCCGCCATGACCCAACTCACCCACGATCGAGTGAGAAGTGAGGGCAGGCGCTTCTGTGCGGAGCCGAGCAACTCCGAAATGGAGAGAGGCGCCTCCGCACTGCCCCGATGATCGTGTACTGTGGAGAAGACAGGTGGGCAATGGCACAGAGAATACGAAGCGGAGGAAGGGTGAGCCGAGGGTTTGTGTTCGTAAAGTGCACTCAGGCGGCGAGCTGCTGCAGCAAGGTCTGCCTGTTGCAGGCGAGCGGGTGTCTCATCCGGGAATGAGACTGCCGCCCCACACGTGGCGAAGTGCTGGTGCAGGTGCCCCGGCAGCGTACGGGCCACGTCGCTTGCCGCCGTCGCGTCTGCGCTGGTGAAAAGCTGCGAATGCAACACCTTCAGCTTCTTGTACGCCGTCGTCATAACAGCGGCAATGGCGGCTGCGGAGTGCGGGCGGCGCAGGTAGGCGAGGGTGTCCTCCGCCGGCACCCGACTTGGACTGAAGTGAGTGCGATGGACCTGGCCTGCCAGCTCCCGCATCGCGGAGCGGTAACCCGGCTGAATAGAGTCAGGGTGCTGCGTGCGGAGCTGCATCAGAGCCGGCACATACGCGGCGAGACAGCACAACTCAAGAGGGCCGAAGTGCAACTCCGGAACCAGCACGATGTGGAAGCAGCTCCAATAGTGCGCGATGGCCTGTCGGCTGATGTGCGGGGCGGTGCGCAACTGAGCGGGGGGTTTGCCGTGATGGCGCAGCAGCGCTTCACAGAGCTCCGCCTCGACCAACGGCGTCCAGCGACACGCCGCCAACGCTGCGGCGGGCGTGCGGCATGCTGCCCACACCCGCGCGGCCAGGGGAAGGGGAACTAAGTCGTCAAACACCACTTCCGCCAGCCACTTCGCAGCCGCCGTCTCCGATTTGTCGACCCCCTGCGCAAAAGCCTGCGACGCGTGCACGTGCAGCGTGACATTGTGCGCGAGGTACCGCACGAGCGCGTCGTCGCCCGCCAATTCCTGGGCTGCCTTCACCCGTTGCCGCAGTTCGTCGCGGTACCACCAGAGGAGGGCCTTAAGCTCAAATCCCTGGAAACGGCCGCCGAGGTGTCGCCGTGCGAGCACCTCTAACTGAGGCGTCGTGGCGAGCACCAGCAGGGGGGCGAGCACCGCCAAAGCATCGACCTCGCTGCTGCTCAGGAGGGGACGGCCCGGCTGCAGCCACATCTCCGAGCCAACGCCGCCGCCGCCTTCATTCCACACACAAGGCAACGGCTGCTGTCGCTGCTGTTGCGGCAGTCGCAGCATCGGCCATGCGAGGGCCACCTCCGCCTCTGCGATTGCCTGCGTTGCCTCGCGCACGCGCTGTTCTCCAAGAAGGTGCCGCAACTGATGTAACCGGGCAGCGCACAGCTCGCCTTCAGCCCGCGTCCACACCGGCGCCGCGGCGACGGCGCAGGCAAACTGCTGGAGGAGCGGTGAGATGGCAGAGAGAGGCGGGTCGAACTGCGCCGCGATCCACACGAGCACCATCCCAACATCGTGTGACTGTGCCCCCTGCTGCTGCATGGCAGAAAGCAGGAGTTGAAGCGCCGGCATCACCTCGCTGGCCGACGCGTTCCACGAGAAGAGCGGCAGGTGGACACATAGGAGCATCCAGGCTTGTATGCAGGTCCTCCACGGTGCGTTGTGGGCCAACGTCTGCATTACGCGGTTTAACACGCGAGGGGTAAGATAACTGTCGCGCAGCTCCGCAAGCTCCATTGCGGCGTCGGGGGTGTGGGCGGGGTCGGTGGTGGGGCTGAGTTGGTTCGCCCGTGGCTCCAGAACGACGTGCATGTAGCAACTAACGGCATCCTGCCAAGCACCACATTCGAGGAGGGCGTCAAGAGACCGCGAAGAGGAGAGCGCAGCGTGTGATTCTTTTCCCTTCGCGTTCTTCGCAGCTTCATCGGAGCGGCGCTGGTGTTGCAGAGAGGCACGCGTGTCTGTTTGACGCTGCGCATCACTGCAGCCTGCTTGAATCCACATCCACAACGTTGCGGCCGGGATGCACGCAGAATCTGCGGTGGCGGTCCACAGGTTGAATTCATCCACCCACTCCAACGCCTGCGCGTAGCTGCCTTGAGCAGCAAGAGACCGCGCCACCTGTGAGGCGTTAGCCTGCACCATCGAGATGGAGCTATCCGAGCTGCCATCGCTGCCCGCGAGCGGCGCACAAAGTGCCCGACGAACGCTCTCGGTCAGCGCGGTAGTGCAGTCAGGCGAGAACGCCTTGGCGGTGATGGCAGTGACCGACAACTGCAGCACGGCATGTGACACCGCCACTTGCCGCCCGACGGACTCGGATAACAGAAGACACGCCATCGAAAGAACGTGCGACGCCGCGTCACCGTCAGCGGCGCCAGCACCAACTCGATTGCTCTTCTCTTCTGCATGTTTTAACGCCGTCGTGTACAAACGCGGAAGCACGGCTGACCATGCCTCCATAGCCTCTGCTGCGTGGGAGGTGAGGAGAAAAACATGACGAGCTACTCGCAGCACCGCCGAAGCAGCTTGATGGCTCTCGAGCTCTGCGTTAACAGTGGTCGCACTCGACAGTGCGGAGAGCAGGATGGGCGGCATAGCGCACTGGACATAGAGAGGAATGCTCTCGGACATCTGCGCATCCGTTTTGTGCAGGACAAGGGAGCTGCTTCTCCAGTCGCTCTTCTCTGCTACGCGTTTGTCCTCTCGAGAGGGGAGGTTGTGCTGCTGATGGTGATGGTGGTGCGTCTCATCGTACTGCACCACATGCTCCTCTGCGATGTCGAGGACACGGAAAGCGTCCGCCGCCCGTCCCACAAGCGAAAGCGCCATAGCAGCAAACATGGCCAAGCCCATCGTCGCCTCTCGCTTTGTCACCGCACTCCCCTCCATCTGCGCCACCTCCCACAAGTTCGACAGCGTCAGCTCGAGTTGGGGGTTTCGCAGAACGTGACGGCACACGCGCAGCCCGAGATGCGGCCACGATGCTTCGGAGGCCGCACCCGCCCCCGCCACAGGCGCCACCGCTAGTACCTCGCACGCCTCTTCTATGCGGCCCTTCGAAAGGAGAAGAGACACGAGTGCGGTGTGGAGAGGCACGGACAAGGACAGCTCGGCGGCGTCATCGCTGTATACTTCACCCCACCGTTCCCAGGCACGTACGACGTCACCGGCGCGCACCAGCAGTTCCAGCTCCTCCAGCTGCTGTTCCTCCGCACACGTGGCGGCAGCGCGCTGCTCCTGCGTCGACAGCGGCGGTGGGCAGCGGGCGAGCAGACAGGCGAGGGCATGCCAGCACCGACGACGTGTGAGGATCGGCACGGCCAGCACACGGAGGCTTTCCAGTGAGCCACCCCAGCACCACTGCAGTTGCGCACAGAGGAGCACCAGCGCATCTGCGTTGGAGGCGGTGTCGAGAAGGACGAGCTCCACTCGCCGCAGCAAAGGACGCAGTGTGACCACAGCCGTACCCTTTTGCAGTTCATGACACGTGTACAACGTAAGCACGTACGCTGCGTGTGGGGGAGGCGACGACACATTGCTAAGGGCTGCACACACCACCTCGCACAGCGCGGATGCCTCTCCCAGCTGCTCCAACGGCTTCATGAAGGCTAGTATAGATGTGTCCACCGCACCTGCCATAGCTGTGGCGTCGCACAACACACCGCTGACGCACTGCTCGAAAGTTGGGAGATGTGTGAAGGCGCCGAGGGTGTTCAGGTGCACCACGATGGCATCTGTGCTTGCGACGGCAGAAGGCGATTGCCCATCGAGGTCTGCGTCCGCGTGACGACGGCGCTGTAAGGCACGGAGCTGCGCAGTCCATCTCGCGCATGCGTGTCCCACGGTCTCCGAGATATCTTGCGCAGCGGAGTTGGAGAGAGTTGTGGACGAAGCAGCTCTCTCTTGCGCGAACAGCAGGTAGTGAAGTGTCGCCGTGAAGGTTAGCACGCAGCGCGCCACACCACTGTTTTGGCCATCGCTTGCCGTCTCGGCCAGCATGCGCGCTACAACGTACTGCCACAAAGGAAGATCCTTCTCCCTACTAGCATTCAACGGAGTAAAGGAAGAGGTGACGCTAGAGGGATGCACTACCTTCAAGTGTGGCCGCGGCAGCAAACGTGCGAGTCCGTCCGCGAACCCGTTCGACGACACAAGGGCGCTCGGGCAGTACCAGCTGAGTGCCAGCACGACCTCCAGCCACTGCGTCCAGTAGTGTGACAGATCACCGTTTGCGGAAAGCACGCCAGATTCCTCAATAGCACGCAGCAGCTCCACTACACCCGCCTTTGTCACGTGACTTTGCGTGAGGAGCTGCGTCACTTCATCGGTGGACCTCAACGCACGCCTCCGCAGCTCCGTCAGCTTGGTGTGTACCGTCGTCTCTGCGGCCCACCACCAACGCGACACGTCCGTCGGTGCGGCAGATTGATGTGCGACGTGCTGCAGTTGTGCCGCTGCCGCCGCTAAGGAGGGGCTCTCTTTGTGCTTCGCTGCGACGTCCATCGCCACCTCCCACGGTACCAGCTCCGATTGGCTCTTCGCGGACGTCTGTGGAAGGCCAGCACCGCCAGCTGATGCTCCTGCCGGCACACCTCCGCTGCTCTTCAGGGCTGTTATAAAGGCACGCACGTAGTCCACCAACACGTCGCCCGAGACCGTCGGCAGACGCACGCGCAGGGCATCCGCACAGCGCCAATCGCCAGTGGTGGCGAAGGCGGCCATCAACAGCGCGGCCTCACGCCCTCCACATGCGTACGCGCCGCCCTGCGACGTCGACCACCGCTCGAACAACTGTGTGGCCAGCTGTGGGTGGTTTGCTTCGGCCAACACCCGCAGAACACTCTCGCGGTGGCGCGGCTTCCACGCCACGTGCCGTGTGGCGTCGGCCAGCATCAGCGGCACCAACTCTTGCATGACAGTACGGGCGAGCGCCTCACTAAAGCCGTGCGACTCTTGCCCCTTCTGGGAGAGGAGTGCGTCGGCTACTGTGTGGTAGATGGCGGTTGTGGAGAGGGGGCTCGTAGCTACCTGCTCCGTCAACTCCACACTCGATTGCCATCCACCGCCTCGCAGGGCAGCGAGGAGGACAAGTTGGTACGTCTCGGCGAGGGGGACACAGTGGCTGTGCAGGGCACCCAGTAGCAGTCGAATGGCGTGTTCCCACTCTCCCCGCTGCACGGCGCGGACAATGACTTGGTGCACCTCCACAGGAGACGGCTGGACTTCGAGGAGAGAGGGGGCGTCTGGGTGGTACGAAGCGGCGTGCACCGTGTCTGAGTGTGCAGCTGCGGACTGCGCGGAGCTGGAGCCGACTGCGTAGGCGCGCTGTGGTGACCAACGCACAAAGTTGACGGAGGCGAGCGGCAGTCGTTGACGAGTGCGGGCGAAGGAAGGCACGACATGGCGCAGAAAACGCGAGGAAAGGTGCGATGCAAGCGGCATTGGAATCCGCTACGGCGATGTGCCTTCGCGCTTCTCTCTCTGTCTGTCACTTCAGTGCGCCTCTTTTTTTCTTTTCAGAAGATCAAGCAGAACAATACCGTGCTTAATGAGTGCAAAAATGAGATATGTGTTAATTAGCTGTTGCGGCAATAGAAGCAACGGTGGCGACAGCCCATGCTTAAAAAAAAAACCTTTCTTTGAAGAGGTGTGTGTGTGTGTGTTTGTGTCTGGGCTGCTCAGAAGTCCTGCACACTTCCACCTGTGAGCAACCACAGGACAACACAAGTAGTACTCTTGATGTTTGTAAGCTTAACAGAAAACACAAGTGAAGCACTAAGAAAACGGAAAGCAGAGATGAACTATGGAGCTACAGAGATGAGATTTTCTCTTGCTATTAAAACGGTATTGAAGGCATTTGTTAAGAGGGGAGAGCAGCCGTTAGAGTGCAATGACGAGATCTGATTGCCAGAACGCGTTGCTGGCTTTTGACTGCGACTATCCCAAAGTCGGTAGACCTTGTTTCACTTGATTCTTGATTTGCACTTCACGTTGATTTATGGGTAACTACAAAACAATTTCATCAGGACTTGCTTGTCGCGATGAGGACAACGGCGCCTCATCGCCAGCGCGAGGAGGGGCCACCGCCTTCATGATGGCTCCGTGCAGTTGCCGATTTTCTCTGCCGATCTCTTTCTCCGAGAGCAGCCGCAGTTCATCACGTACTTGACGCAGTTCGCGTATGTGCGCTTCCAGCTGCGTCATTTTCGCCTCCAGTTCTTCTCGTTCTCGCCTCAGTGCGGTGAGCAGAGGCCCTACAGTTTCTTGCCGGTAGAGCAGCAAGTCCAGCAGCAGCGCCCTGTAGTCCTCAGTGAGGGGCGGTGTCGGCGATGTGGCGGGTGAGGAAGAAGAGGCGACGGCGGGCTCCGCCGTGCTTGAGGGTGCAGTCGACGGGCCTTGATGGAGGTGACTGCGGAGCGCAGGGCCACTGGCGGCGGCGGCAGCACCACACCGTGAGGCGGATAAGCTGCCAAACGCACCAAAGCGTCGCATTGCTGCAAAATAAGGGAGCTGTACAAGTACAATGGAAGGCGTGATGCACGGAGCGGAGCAGAGCAGTAATTAGTTTACTATTGTTTCAGCCAAACACGTGCGCCGCACACAGCAGGATGCTTTGAGGAGGTTACAGCTGCCAGCATTCATCGAATTTGTTGCACCTTCAAAGGATCGGCGTCGAGGGCTTCGCAAAGCGAAAATGAGCCAGCCAAAACCGCCGCATGGGGTTTAAGCGCGCTACTTCGCCGCATTACACTTCTGCTTTCTTCTCTGTATCCGTGTGCTGTTGTCATGAAAGAGTTCGTGTGACGCAGCCTGCAAAAGAGAGAGCCCAACAACGCATTGCTTTAGCTGAGGGGTTCCAACAGGGAAAAGAAAAAAGACGAGCATAAACACCCGCAAAAACAAAGTCATCGCGACTTCAAAGAAGGCGCTCGAACGTGTAGATCCGTACCCACATGGTGCGTACAATACTGCAACTTACCCCCCTGCAGGTGGTGCCACCTCGTAGGTGTATACTCGGTACATGTCACTGTCTCCTAGAAAGCGGTACTTGACGTTTGAACCCCAGCTAAAGGAGTACTTTTGGTTCTTTGTGGTGTAGTGTAGGCGGTAGTACGGAACTTCCCACGTTATTTGCACAAAAACGCGGTAGTCGCTCGCGCCCGTGTCCCCAGCCACACATTTGCTGACTTCCAACAGCATGCGGTCGATGTCGTCGTCTGCCATTTCGCTTGACTTGTCCGTTTGCAACGCGTCCATCGTTCCCTTGTCTAGCACAATATCGAAGTAGGGGCCGTATTGCACTCGTACGCCGGCAAGATCGCGCAAGTCGGCCACCTCCCAATACACATCGGTCAACGAGTGCGGAGGACCGTATTTGGCCCTCATGTTTTCAATCACCACGGGGGAGTAATCGATGGCGACCTGAATCAGCCGATAGGGACGACATGCTGCATCCGGGTAGCGGGTCTCGTACGCCGCACAGATGTCAGCGCACAGGGTGGAATTACCGGTGCCGAGGTGCAGCACCTTGATGGTCTTGCAGTGCGCAGAAGAAGAGGCTGTACAGCGTGCATTGTGTACGGCCTCGATGGCGTCGAAGGAGGCGGCGACGCACGCGGGATAGACGGAGGGGAACCAGTCGTAGTGTTCCTCCTCCGCGTAGCGCTGGTCCCAGTACTCCCGCTTGCTGTAGTCCGCGTTGGAGGAGGGCTCCATGCTTAGATGACACTGCATTAAAGCAACGAAAAACACAGAAAATATGTTTGCTCCAAAACTACGCTTTGGAGGAGCAAAACAGCACCTTAACGCAGTGCGCAAAAAGAAAAAAAGAGCGCGAGAGAAGATGAAATTGGCGAAGTAAATGGAGAGTCACCTACGCTGCAGCCAAAAAAGAGATAAATTACTTCAACACAGAACGAGCAGTGCCATACATATATATGAAAGGCCTTTGGTCAGCACCGCCTGTGACCCGCTGTATGCTTGCATGCGTGTTTTCCCTCCCCCTCCTTCCTGAAATCAAGTGGTACATGCCGCTACATTTGCCCTGCGTGGGGTGTAGCAGTGGCTACGGGCTTTCCTTGAGTGACGACAGCGGAACGAGAGATTTCCCCTTTCAGCTATTCGCATGTTTTTTAATTCGTTCTCCATTGTTTTCCGTCAAGCATCACCGAAGTACAGAGCGTTTGATTACCGGCAGAAGGCATCTTCCTTTACACAGAAAAACAGGACATCACGTTTATAAGGCGAGGTGGTGAGCAAGGCGGATCAAAGATGCGCGAAGCGTGGGGCCGAACTTGGACAAAACAACCTACCTCTTCTCTTCCATCCTCTGTAGGCAATTGATTGTGCCGTTCTATAAATAAAAGGCAGTTCGCTTTGCCAAAGAAAACACCAAGTCTGCTCCCTACCCCCACCTATCCGTAAACGCTGCAGAATGGGGAGGAAGCGAGCAAACAAAAAACGGCAGGTGCAATTCAACTCTTGAGAAGTTTACGCGTCTAAAAAAGAGTAAAAGAGAAAAAGAAAAAGGAGAGCTAACGGCACCAGCCTCCCACCACCCCGATGCGGTCCGGCGGTGCATCTGCTCACTTCTTAAGATTCATTAGAAATCAAAATTCTCTGCATTCATGGCCCACGGAAACTTCTTGATGATAGTAGAAGAGAAAATCTTGTTGATCGGCACATCCTGCGCCTTCGCCCACGAGCACACGATGCGGGGGTCGATGTAGTTAATCTTGCTGGTGCCCAACGACACCGACTTGTTGTCATCCTTGATGCGGATGAGGTTCTCCTCGCGGTTCAAGCGCTCCCGGTAGCGGGACAGCGTCTTCTCAATGTCGGTGGGGAAGGAGCGAATAACCGGCGGACGCGGCGGCACCAGCGATGCCGTGTCCTCCTCCTCCACCTGCGAAAGAACGTCTTTGTTCACCAACCCCTGCGACCGCGCGATGTCGAACAGCGTCGACTCCTTCTCCGACTCCTCCGAGGACACGGCTGAAGCGGAGGAAGAGGAGGAGCGGTCATCCGAGGAGTCGGAGTCGGAGTCGGAGCTGGCATCGCTGCTGGAGTCCTCATCCGACGAGGACGACGACGCCGACGACGAGGAGGAAGAGGAGGGCGCCCGCTCCACCTTGCGCACCTTCGGCGGAGGCGCGGCCACCGCCGCCGCAGGCTTCAACCCAAGCAGTGCATCTTCCTCTGCAGCGGCGTCAGTGGGGCGGGGGTGCGGTGCCTTCACACCGGCGGCTGCCAGCGTGGCGAGGATGGTGGGCGACATCTTCAGCTTCAGCGCCGACACGTCGATAGGCGTCTTCTTCGGCAGCGAGACCGGCACGGCGGGTGGCGCCGTCGGGGGCGTGTGCGATGGCTGCATGGTGATTCGAGTTACAGGAGGAGACGACAGCGGGAAAGAAAGCGCGTCGCGTGATCGTGCACTTCGGTACCAACACGGAGAAAAAACTCAGCTGCTTTTCTTTTCTGTGGTGCTTGTGAGTGTACGAACCGATGAAGGGAGGAGAGAAGACGCAGGCATGAGCAGTAAAACGATAAAGGATCTAAAAAATAGCTGTTGCGCAACATGAATGGCGTGAAGAAGAGAGCGCTTCAAGGCGTCCTTTGATTCGCTTCGGCAGAGTCAACAAGACGGGATACAAGGCCAGTAATACGATGCGTGCGCTGTTTTGTTTTGCTCGCGCGCCGTCCGTTTTCTCACACGGAAGCTACCGAGAAAAAACAATTGTGTTTCGTCTTTACCACAAAGGAAAAGACGCAGTTTGGGTGGAGCAACGCGTGACACACTTACGTTCCAAATTGCGAAGGTGCCACAACGGTGCTGCGTTCGTTACTGCAACTCAATCACCCACACATACACGCGAGTATCAAAAATAACTTCAAGTTGTTCGGCGGAGGTCAGATTGACCTGATGAGGCTAACGGGGATTCCCAACACAGCTTCAACCGTAGTCATAATGAAACAAGGAGTTACCGCTTGTGCGATAGTGTTGGCTTTGTCCAAGAAAAACAACAATACATATATAGAATGAAGGAGGAGGAAGAAAGAAAAGGCCACCTCGCCTGGCCATAAATACCAAGGAATACAATTGTTATAACGCGTCATCAATTCACAAAAGTATCAAAAACTAATAAAAGAAGAAGATAGGGAAAAGGGGTTCACATCCGTGGATATATGTGTGTGTGTTTGCCCGCTGTTTTTAATCAGCATTACTCTTCTCTTTTTCTATATATCATCAGCAATGAGACGAGACACAAAGCAACGTCAAAGCAGAAACAGAAGGGAGCAGGGCGGGGTCTTGTAAGAAGTGCGAAGAGCGAAACAGAGGTTATAAAAAAGAAAAGAGGAGGAAAACAAAAAAAGTGGTGACAGCTTCGCAACAGCTTTACCTACCGCCGTGATATTAACCCATTTAGCACGTCAACAGTAATCGAGACAAAGGAAAAGGGAAAAAAAAACAATGAAAATCACAGGAGGCCGCCTCGATGCGAGTCTGTGGGGTATAGGAGAACAAAACAAAAAATTGTAGAAAAAAAACCTGAGAGATACAGGTTGTAAATGAGTCTTGTGAGGTGATAAAACAAACAAACAAACAAATCCTTTTGTGTGAAGTGCTTCCTTCGTTTCGTTGGGCGTCGATGACGTGTTTTACCTTGAAATTTCGAGTCCCCAATTTCACATCAGAAGTAACACGATCGAGCACGTTGCTCTTTGACTGATGCTTAACATGTCACAGTGAATGTCTGCATTCGCGCACACGCGCATTTGAATCCCTGTCCTGTTTGCCCACGAAAACAAATACATATGCATGTCTACATCCTCACTTAGCTGTGAGCATAGTGAGGGTAAAGAAGAAGCAAGTATTACAAACAAACGAAAAAAATCAAAACCGCGCTTATTCGGGTGTGATAAACACGGCAGCGTTGAAGCCTTCTTCCTGCTTTGCTTTGCTTCTACTCGTTCGCTCCTCCTTCGCGCTCCTCCGTGGGCTGTACCTGCGGCTGAGCGTCGGAGTTGCTAGAGCGACGACGCGTCAACGAGCCGCTCTGGCGACTGCGGGAAATCAATGAAGCGTACCGGCCGTTGGAGTGGGCGTGACCGTCCTTCTCCGCGATGCTCTCCATCAACTTCGCCTGTCGCTGTTCCTCGAGGTTCTGACGACGTGCGAAGGCCTCTTGGTAGCGGTCATTGGTGTGTTTGAAGAGCTCATACTGGATGCGCTCGCGCTCTTGGGCCTTCGCCCGCACGTTGGCTGTGGTGCGGCGCTCCTTTTCCAATTCCCGCTCCACGTGTATGAGCTCCTTGTTCTCACGAATAATGACAGCGCGTTCCTGCGTGTCGAGGCGGTGGGCCTCACGTTCGTTGATTTCCTCGATCATGACGGCCTCGTTCTGCGTCAGCGGGCGCTCCTCAGCTATGCTCTGGCTGTAGATCTTGACAGCGCTGTAGGGCTGGTCGACGGTGAGTCGGCCGAGACCAGCGGTGCTGACGGAACGCCGGCTCGGTGACGTGCCACGCGGATAGCTGGCCCCGGCAGAGCCGCGGCGGTAGCCGTCGAAGTCGTAGCCACCGCTGCCGCCGTTCGCCTTGCGGCGTTCTTGTTCGAGCAGACGCTGGTGCTGGGCCTCGAACTGGCGGCGCATCTTTTCCTCGTCGTCCATCGGCCCCGTCGTGGTGCGCTGGGTCTCCTCTTTCTCCTCCTCCGCTTGCGCGGCGGCTGGTGCATTCGCGTCGACGTCCTCCGCGGGAGTAAGCGGGCGCGGAGTGCTGTGCTTCACTGCAGCGCGGTAGTCCGGCATCAGCTCCGCCATGCGGGCCTTACGGCGCTTCTCGTAGCTGTGGTAGCGCAGTTCGACGACCTCATCCTCCACCCCGGCGCCTTTGAAGTGCTCCTTGGGGTAGTGCGCCAGCTCGGCAGGGTTGACGCCGTGCTTTTCACACACCGCAATGCTACGTGGAGTGTTGACACCCTCCGCGACCGGGGGCTGCTTCTCCACGTTGGCGAGGTTTACCCGATGCGTGGGCTTCTTCTTCTTTGGCGCCGCAGGCGTCGCCGTCGCAGCAGCAGCCGCAGCGCCAGGTGCGGTCTCCGCCTCCTTCTTGGCGCGCTTCGCCTTCTCCGTCTTCGCCGAGTTCTTCGCCTTCGCATCGCGCGGGCGGGCCGTCTTCATCGGCCGTGGTGGCGGTGGTGCGGTGGCAGCCTCTTCGAGGCCGTCGTGGGCCGCCGCACCCTCCTCTTCGTCGGTGGGCGAGGTGGACCGGGCGTCGTCGTCGTCGCTCTCCGCCTCCGCCTCGCCACGGCGCTCGGCGGTGACCGCGGAAGGCTTGCTGGTCGGCCGCGACGGCGCGACCTCTTCGGCGGCGTCGCCGTGGTAGTGTACCGGTGCCTCGACTCCACCGGCCGCCCCGGTAGTTTCCTCGTCCCCGTGCCGCGGTGCGGTGGCGTGGGGCTCGTCCAGCGGCTCGGGGTGCACCTGCGGGCGCGACGGGCGCCGCTTCACAATAGCTTCTCCGTAATCCATTTGACGCTGCTGCTGTTGATGCTGTTTTGTATAAGGTTAGCGAAATTGCGCGCGGTTTCTTTCGGGGCGAGTACGCACACAGATGATTTAAAAAGTTCTGTATGCTTGAACGAAAGAACAAAGGAAGTGAGAAGAGAGCGCCTATCAACTATGAAAAGAAAGCACAAGAAAAGACGTAGGAAAAAGCTATTTTCGAGGATTTTTTTAAAGGGGGCGCAGTGAAACAGCTGTCTGCTCCACACTGTTCTTCGTTGCCGGTTTGGTGAGGTTAGGTTGGAGTCGTCGTGTAGAGCTGCGATCCGTGAATGACACCGAGAAGAAAAGGAGCACACGGATATAATAATGAAAACAGGACCAGGTGCGGCAGAGTAAGCGAAGAGGAGATACAACAGGTGAATGGCAAGTAAATATATATCATATGTACTCACTTCGACTACAGACATTGGCACAGCTTAATTTGTAGCGGAGTTCTAAAAAAGAAGAAAAAACTCAGGCAAGTGCGGAGGCCAACTTGCGTAAAGAAATCGTGCAACTGTTTAAACATGCTTGTAAGGTCCTCATCGTCTTCTAGCTGGACTGAGGCGCGTGAGTGCGTTAACGACATGCTAACACGCGTGCAACCGAACAAAATAGAGGAGATGACTTCCCTCACCTTTTCTTCGCAGCACCAACTAAAACAGCGATCATCACGTTTCGTTGTGAATTCATTTTCGTTTTGTATGTGTGATGACCAGTGCCGGAAGACAGCATCGCGCCTAGAAAACAACAGAGACCCACAGGGCATTTCACACACACGAGAAACATACAAGAGATATGTAAATGCAAAGAAAAAGAAACAACCGTCTTCCTCGCCAAACGACCACTTTTACCATACAAAAAGGTTCCAAGCTACCGCGCCGCGGCCTCGGACGCTGCCGCCGTTCCTGCAGCAGCCGCTTCAGACGCTTGTGCGTCCGCCAACGCCTCCGCCACGGCAGATGCGCTCACGGCGGATACGTTCGTGTAGCCCCACCGTCGCAGGGCCGCGCACGTGTTCACCGCCCGCTGCGAGTCCGACGCTGCAACAAACACCTCCGCTCGATTCTTGTCGGTGGGCAAGATGGGGGCGGCTGCGCCAGACAAGATATCGTGCGGGTGCAATGCGACTACCGCCGAGCTGATCAGCGGTTGCTGCCGCCGCTCTGCCTCGTTGCGAACGTCAACGACCACTGCACCGGCAGAGAGGCCGCCAATGGCCGCTATGGCATTGCGAATCGCCTCTGCCGACACGTTGTGCAGCAGCGATGCGTACGCGTCTAGACTGTGCTGAGGGTCTAAAGCTGCGTGTCCCTTCGACATGTACGGAGTGCCGTACCGCTTGTTGAGGTTAGAGACCTTCCAGGCTGTCTTTGGGATCCACTGCGCCATGGCTGATGAGTGCAAACGTTCTCAATGATCTTCCAACCAGCACGGTGAATGTGGGTGTGTGAGTGGGGAGACCTACTACAACCGAGATTTCAAAGAAAGAAAACCAGAAGAGCTTCAGCCGATAAACAATGTCTCACTTTTGCAGTGGACCTCTCTTCAACTGCGCAAGAGTGGTATACAGCACGAGGAGACATACGTGCACGCATGTTTCAGATAAATAGATTGACAGCAGATCAAGAGGAAAGCTAGAATGACTGTTGAGAAATTTACGTCTGCAGAAGTTAGTTTGGCACCTTGAGACGGCGGGCCAACTGGCGTTACATCTGCGGTTGGCATCGCGTGAGTTTCGCTTTAGACGTTACGTCGCATGAAGCGACGAAATACGCGCCTTTTTTTGTTTGTCTCACTTTCAGCACGCTCGTGCCATTGCAATTATGCTGCTGAACACATCAAATTGCACGTTGTCAGCCTTGTGTTCTTTATTGATGGCGGATGCCTCATGTATAATAGATGAAGTGTTCAGGGTGATTTCATTCAAAAAAAAAAGTATATATATAGATTCACCTGGCGCAGTTTGATACGGTACGAGAATGAAGAAACTCCATTTACTCCATCAAAACACAGGTCTCCCCTCTGGTAATGATACGTAAAGTGGAGCTTTCATGTGAAGCTCTTTGTACGTCTCACGTTCAAACATTTCTTTTTCTTGTGTCTTCAAGCTACTGCGCGACCAGGGCAGTACGAAACTGCTTCAAAGGAACAGTCAGGCAGTGCTTCACCTTACTTCGTGAACGTTGTCGCCACGCTTTGATCGACTCGAGTGGATCTTCTCGTTTCTCTTGACACACATACGAAAGAAAAAAAGAGGTGACGCCGTGCAGTGGTCGCGTGGCAGTGCACTGCAACAGACGTTTTTAGTGGATCAGGAGTTCCCACCTCTAACAACCACAATAAAAAAAGACGCGGTAGACCGCAAAAGTAAAAGCCTAAATAGCCTGGTGAGAAAAGGAATCGATAATAAAAAAGTAAAAATAAAAAGAAAACGCTTGAAATCTTCCACGGAAATGCTGCGCAAGCGTGTGAGCAAGGACGGCACAGCTTGTGACATCCGTAGAAAACGGAGATACCTCCTTCTTTTCTTTGATACAGAGCTGAAAACAGCATGTTGCGTTAAGTTGTTTTACTAAACACACACACACACACACACACCAACACATAGAAAAAACAAACAACAAAGGACGAGCTGGAGAGATGCACCTACAAAAAGGCATAAAAAGAGTTGTTCGCTACGTGTGAAGTACGCCTCTCCTTCTTCCTCGCTGACCCCTCAGCGCTGCGGTAAGCGAAAAAAGTTCGAATTGGGATCAAATATATATATATATATATATATATATATATATTTAAGAAAACACACAAATTTGTGGCAGAGATGCGCCTTTGTTACGCGAAGGTACTGCTGCAAGGTGATGCATTTCTGGCTGATGCTGCGTTCGACATGGACCTTCAATCACAACAACGGCACACACACAAAAAGTCGGAGAAAAATACAATAATCGAAGATCGAAGGAGCAAAAAAAAGGTCATGAGAGTTTTGGCTCATTTTGAAGTGAGGAACGACGTTGACTTGTCTCTTCTCAGGCTTCCCAGCCAAACTCCATGTCCATGAAGCAAAGCACTAATAGCTGTAGAAGAAGCTATTGTGGGCTGAAAAAAAAATAACAGAAACAGAAACGAAGACATTTTTTGGGACGGGAAAGGGATCGGGAGTGGAGAAAAAAAAGTGCAAGTGAGGGAAGGGATGTTTACAGGGGAGGGGAAAGCTATCCTTTCTGCTTCATTAAATGCGTACAAAAAGTTCGATTGCATTGTCAAGCCCTTCCATGAAGGCAAAACACAACGGTGTGCTTGTTGTTTAACAGTTTTGCAGTCAGGCCGTTCTTCGTCGCCAGCGCCTCTCTGCATTTGTAACAACAGCCGACAGCGAAGGAGCAAGACTCGAGTTGTTTTGACGAGAAAGCAGTAAAAAGAGGAGGAAAAAACGACATAAATATATTTAGAGAGAGATGCTCCAAGAAGAGACTCGTTGAAGGCAACAGAAGAAAAAAGAAACAGCATTTTAGAATAGTGGAGAGATTAACAGGTGATAAGATAAAGAAACTGAAGGTACGGAAAGCCAGTTCGCTTTTGCGCCATTCCATCTCGTGACATGGACACTTGATGGAAAAGGCAAGGCTGCAAAGCTGTGGGAAGAAGTGAGTAACGTGAAACATTTTCACATGAAAGGATCCTGCTTGTTCTGTCTCTGCGTAAATTAGACTTGCACGAGGAAGATACGTAGAAGGTAAAGAGTGGCAGCCTGCGTTAACGCGTCATCTGGCACTCAAAACGATCCCCTTAATCGTCCACAGGAAACCTTCACGCTGCCTTCACGAATAGGCTCAGAGGCGCCGCTAAAGGCTAAGCAGTTTCACAACAGTTTTTCTTCCTTCCGCTGCCGTTTCTCTCATCTGACGCTGTTCACGTACCTACCCATACATTCGTACCTCCGCGATCTATGAAACGGTACTCTGAAAAAAGGGGGAAAAACCTCACTTTTCAACGATTCTACAGAAAAAGAAAAGTATATATATCCATACGTTAACAACAAAAAGATGCCGGGCAAAGTTGACATCCGGAAGACGTGAGAAAACTAGGAGCATATTAATATATATAAATATATGTATGTTTACATACATACGAAAGATATGCAAAGAGGAAACAAAAGAGCATTTGACCTAGGACAAAGAAAGGAAAGAGGAATAAAAGAAAATCGTTTGTAGATAAAGCATTAACAATTTGGCGCTCGCTGAAGTTCGCTATCAGGGCCCCCTTAAGTTAGAGGAGAAATAATAAAAAAGATGAACAGTAAAGTGCCTTTTATTATTTCGTAGAAGTGTCCTTTCAGCGAAAATGATTGCGTACGTGTGCGAGCGTGTGTTCGAGCAAGCCAACCTAGTAGAGCTTTGGCATCAACAGGCCAACGAGCTTGGGGCTGATGGGTGCAGCACGAGAAACGGCGTCACCGCTGTTCGTTTCGACACCAAGTTGCCGGACCGCGGCATATTGCGACGGCAAGAGAGCGCACTGTGCCTTGGCGAGCGCCTTCAGCGAGTCTACGTCCCCAGCGGCAATGAGTGAGGCCACGAGCGGGTAGACAGAAGAGGAGCGGACGTAGCGCAAGGTGGTCTCGCTGAGGATGATATCGCGGTACAGGTCCGCGGCATTCTTGGGCGTGTTCTTTGCCTGCAGCGCCTTAATGACGGTCAGACTCTCGGCGTCCTGTAGTACCTTCGTGAGCTGGCGGCACATGTGGATGTGGCCGCAGTCCTTGGTCCATTTGCACTTTCCATCGATGTTCAGGTGGCACACGCGCTTCTTCCACGAGATCACGTAGGCGCCGTCCACATACGGGAGCGTCTCCAGACCGACAGTGAGGCTGAAGTTGAGAAGGGAGAGGTCGATGCGGTGGGGCTTGCCGCCATCCTGCGGGAAACGCGAGGGGTCATCGAGGCTCAGCACGAAGCGGCGGCCCACCAGGTGAGGAGCGCAGTTCGACCCCAGCATCTCCTGCGAGTAGTAGCAGTTGTGCAGACTGCAGCACAGGGATTCGGTGGTGTCGCGGCACTGCTGCAAATACTGCGGCGACACGTGGAAGCAGCGGCAGCGCGCACCCTCCGCGCAGCCGAGGCCCTGGGCGTGTAGCAGACACACAGAGCTCTTGCAGCGGCGTGTGCTGCTCGCGACCACGTCGTTGTCGTAGAGGCTGATACCCACGGTTGGCTCACACACGCACGACGGCGGGACGGGAATCCGCTGGAGGGACGGGTGCAGTTGGTCCACCAGTGCGAAACCCCAGATGCCCACGTCGTGCTGCGGGCGTGTGCGGACGGAGCTGGCTGAAAGACCGCTGCTGAGCTGAGAGGCGCTCTCGCCACCCCAGCTGCACGATTGAGTGGACAGTGAGTTCCAGCTGCCGGAGTGAGACAGCTTCATGTCGGAGCTCGTGCTCGATGCATCGAGGGCGGCGCAACAGACAGTTTTGGCGGGGGTGGCGGCGGCACTGACGGCGTGCGTCGGCAACGTGGCGGGCACGGAAGCACTCGCATTCGGTTCCATGACAAAGTACATTGGTGTGACAGAGTGACCAGCGTACATACTGACCGGTTGCGTTGTTTTTCCTGTACCTGCAACCATTACTGGTGCGTTGCCGTACGTGCCGAACACCCCTCCGTAGCCCTGAACGGGGTACGGAAGACTGGCGTTCGTGTAGTAAGTCTGAGGGTACACGAGCGTCGCTGGCATGCCATTCGCCGACCTCTGCTGTATGGGATAAGGTGTGAACATTGTCTCGGGGAAGGATAGAATTGAAATGGACGCTGGAAATGCTGGGCTGTGAGCTGAGTGCTGTGGCTGCGATACGAGAAGCTGGCGCCGTGTCACACGGTTGGAGGGCAAGTATAGAGTGAGAGAGAGCGACAGCGTACAAATGCGCCAAGAAAGGAAAGACATGACGGAAAGAGGGAAAAGGCGAAGAGAACAGATTTTTGCAGGGAAGAGAAAACGAAAGGAGAAGAGACGCAACCAGCCTCAGCACACATAGCAGCAAAGAGCGCTCTAGTCGCCCTCGAGGATTACAGCACAAGGTTTCACAGTGACCGTTAAGAGAGAGGCCCAAAGTTGATGAGTAACAAACGGTCACGCAAGACATAACTAAATAAAAAACTCGTTACTGTTAAGTTTCACTGTGATCTGATTCATGATCCTTTTCATCATCATGAGATTTATTCCATTTGATGGAGAGCAACAGGAAGTTTTGTAGCAGACGTAAAATCGCTGTTGTGGAAGGCTTTGCACCGCTAAATAGTGTTTATGAAAGAAGAATTCAGGTAGTCGCTTCTCACGACTGCGAAATGGCAGTATTGGGAGTGACGGCTGCAGCCGCCGCGGCCGCAGCTGCTTCTTCGCGTTTGCTCAGCGTGCGGAGTCCACTTTCAATCACACGAAACCGGTTTACGATGATGTCAGCCTGCAGCGCGACCTCTTCAGTCTTCTTATTTGTCACTTCCTGTTTTCGCAAGAAATCGTAATGAAAGAGCGCAGCAGAGACAGACGCTGTGACGAACCCGCCAACGAGAAAGCCAGCAACTCGCGGACCCATTTTCACTTGCCTTCTTTGCTAAGGGAGCAATATATATAAATATAAATATGCACTTATTCGTGGACACACAGAAAAATCTCAATACGGTTCGCGCCTTTCAACTCTCACGCAATGCGCAAGTGTTTACCTTTGTCGTAGCTGTGAACAGCTGAGAGATTTTATGAGAGAAAGGTTTGAAGAAAAGTGAGGAGCTGAACGATGGAAGACACGGCCTATGATACCACTCATATGTATCAATATCGCAGAGCAGTGTTTCCTTGCTACAGCGCCAGAGTGCTTTTTTCTTTCTTTCTTCTCCCTGCGCTCTTTGTCGTACGTACGGCAGGTGCAAAAACGCAGCTCTCTCAACAGAGCTACACACTTTAGGGATGGAGGCAGAGAAAGTGTACTGAATTTCACAAGTCCTTTCGAGATTGATCCGCTTCGCGTTTTCGCTGTTTGAGAGGCGTTTTTTCTTTTCTTTTTTTCATTGCTTGCGGGAGTACTTGAAAGGACAAAATCCTGGGTTTGAAACTCCTGAAACGGTAAGGGAAGGTAAGTGCATAGGAAGTGAGACAGAGGAAGGAAAGCAAAGACAGCAACAACAACAACAAAAAAACAGCAACCACAAAAAGCGACAAGTAAATGTGTACGTGCGTTGCTCAGACGAAACAAAACGTCTGAAAGTAGAGAAGAGGAGAAGCTGCAGCATCACCAAAAATTCTCCTTTCCAGCGTTCCAAAAACACCGCCTGCACTTTCATACGAAACGTACCTGCCCGTTCACTTCTGCGTTTGTGCGTGCGTGCGTGTGAGCGAATGAATGTGTATGCCCCAGCGCATGCTCTGCTTTCGTGCTTTCTAACGCCTTTCTAGATCACACTTGGACAGAGGTAGAAGTTTGAGCAGCATTGAAAATTGAAAGGGAAACCGGAAGCAACTTAAAGAGAAAAAAAAGGCGAGGAAAAAAAAAGATAAACGCAGGTGATACGAACACATCGTGGTACGACTTGCATATATTTACGGCACCAAACGGTGGCGAACATCGGAGGTACGGCTTTCGGTGTTCACAGGCAGTCGAATGGGCGAGTTACGCTGGCACGGCGGCACCGCCTCAAAGGTGATTCTCTCCGTCGTCGACGCAGCACCCTGCGTTCCGTCGTCCGTCACGCTTTCGTGCTCCATGGCGTTGAGAGCCTCTTCGCGCGAGCTGTACATCTCCATAAGAAAAAGCACAAAGCCGTCGGTATGATCGACCTCGTCCGCGGCACGGGTTGAAAAGGAGCCGCCGGGCACACGACTCGCAATGACCTCCGCCGACGACGGCGCCTCCTCCGTTCCCGCGATGAGGAGACCCATCTCCGCGCAGTCCGAGCCGCTGCAGTCTTCGCCGTATGCTTTTCGAGCGTAAGCCGCGATGTACCGCGGATCCAGCTGCAGCGCGAGAAACAAGAGCTGCCCCATAAAGCTCTTGGCCGAATCGCCGGCCCTCTCGCACTTGTCGTAGAGACGAAGGAAGGAGAAGTAGTGCTCCGACCGGCCAAGACGTGGAGCTGTGCTGCTGCCTGACGGGAACAACTGCGAGGTCAACGACTGCGACGTCTGCAAAGGGACCGGCTCATCGCGCTTTGTGACGTTCATCGACTCGGAGGCGGAGCTGATGCTGCTGAAGGAGTCCGCGCGCATCATCCACGGAACCGTTCCGCTGGTGCGCGCCGGCGAAGCATTGAGGATGGCACCCCTCGACGCTTTTCGATCTACGCTGTTAGCGTGCGCCGCCACCTTCTTCAAAATCTCCATCACGGATACGGAGCTGGTGGACCACAGCGTGCTCGAGCTCTCGACCAGCGGGCCGATAAAACGCTCTCCGGTAGCAGCCCCGCGGACGTCGATGTTGGCCTCCAGGCGGTCACGCAAGTCGATCGGGACAAGGGCGAGGGCCGCCGTCATAATGGGCCGCAGCATGACGTTGATGTAGTCGACCAGTACGGTGAAGACTTCCGCTGACTTGATGTGCGGGGTTGTGGCGGGGATCGAGTGGCGCTGCGCCTCGCACTCCTCGCGGTGGTACTCGGAAAGCAGCCACGCACCCATGCGACAGAATTGCGCCTGCGTGCGGAAGGCGAAGCTGTTGCTTGCCATGATCAACAGCGCCGCCATCAATTTCGGCGTGTCTGCGTCCGTGATGTGATCGCTCTGTGCGGTCTTGTGCAGCGCCGTCATCAGTGCAGGCCTGCAGCGCGGTGTTGCATTCATCACAACGTCGTACAACGCCTCTTTTACCAGGTGGGCCCCATCGATCGGGTTGGGATCGTCGTGGAGAAGGAAGAAGTTGTCGTCGCGCATCAAAATGCTCGTCATCACGAGCAGCGAGGCGTGCTCTGCAATTGCGGCGTCGCCGAAGACGGAGGCCAGTGGGTGGTCCAAGGCAACGAGAAGCGCATCCGTCGCACCAGGGTGCGCTACATCGACGGAAAGAACAGCCAAGAAACAGGTTGCAATCTCCTCGTCGGTGAAGAGAAAATTCACCGAGGGCTCTCTAAAAAACAGCGACATCATCTGCAACGCGTCTGCCGCGTGCGTGGAGTTGTGATACCGGTTGTCCGTCGGGTAGTAAGTGAAGAGCTCGCCGAGAAAGTGGAAAAACTTCCCTGCGTTGATGTGGAGCGTCGTGAAGAAGGAGAAGTTTGCAAACACACTGCAGCACACCGAGAGAAAAAGCCGCTCGCTGTCCTCCATGACACTTCCGTCGTGCTCCCGCAAGTTTGTCACATCGAACTCCATTTCTTCGACCTCTTCGATGTACCGGAGCGTCTGCATTGCAATTCTGTTGAGCTCGTCAAAGACTTCCTTGGGATTCTGCAGTGCAGGCGTGTCGCGCTGCATGACGGTGCTGTGAGTCGATAAAAGGAGGGCACCTGGCAATTTGGAAGACGCAATATCGAAGTGCTTTGCACGCATTCGCCCAGCGGGATTGCCGGAGAAACAGAAGTGCAGCGGGGCATTCCCGCTTACAAAGTGCTCAAAGTAATGATGTGCACTGCTTTTCACAGTGACACGATGCGGGCTCGGAGGATCCGTTGGCGGTTGCGTCTCGCGGAGTCGTCCCATTGCCGTGGCTATCTTCTCTTTCAGCTGCACAGGCAACGCTGGATCGTTTTTCACTGCGGCGAGAAGCTCATACGGATCGGCCTTTGAGTCGGAGTTGCGGCTCAGAGGAGAGCGCTTCGCCATGGTGTGAAAAGGAGGGAGTTGTGTCATTGTTTTTTCAGAAAACAATTCTTACTTTTCCTTACTCGGGCCGCGCACACCGTTTGCTTCTCTTCTCTTACGATTATTATTCTAATGGTGATACACAGCGTCGCCAACAAGAAAGAAAGGCGCGAGAAAACTGTAGCGCTTAGTTTTCACGGCACTGACAACAGAAGCGGTGAGAGAGGAATAGAGAATTGAAAAAAAGATGAGATGTATGTGTCAGTGCCTGCAAAATAGAGCCACTACAATAACGAGCACGAAAACGTACCGCCCTCCGAAGAAAAAAAAACCTGTGCTAGTGCATAGAAACCTATAGCCACACGGAAACACCAAACACCAAATTTTTGTTTCCAATCACACGTACATCTTTGTGACGCAGATGACAACAAGCAGAAATAGAGAAGTTGATTATCTGCGTAGTCAGGACTGTGCTTTTGCCCCTCTTCAATATCTCTGTTGGTCTGTTGAACCGAGAATGACTTTGCTACGTCAAGAAAATGGTTGTATCGCAAGTGCAAAACTGTGAAGTGAACGATCTTCGAGAGTTTTATGGAACTAAAAAGAAAAAAGAATGTGTCTGGATTCGAGTTAAGGTTTCGTCGGTTTTTGCGTTATTTCAATGCAGCGTGCGAATGAGCGCCCCAACAACATCAACGACAGCAAATCCATATCGAGAGTCCATCCATCCACTCTTGAAAGACGGACAGAGGCTTCCACCTTTTTAGAGTCAATGGGGTCGCAGACGCGGGCACCAGGGATCGGGGCAAACACCAGCGGAATGACGAGAAGGGACACAATGAGGTGAGCCAGCGCAAGTTGCTGAAGTTGCATGGGACGTCGGAACGGATCGGCCACACCGTCTCCATCAAAATCGCACCAATCGTGGACGACGTCGACGTACCCAAGTTGCTGAAGCTCGCCAGGATGGCAAACATCGTGCTCTCGCAGCCCTTCGGGCACAGACGGGAGATCAGCATGTTCAGCGGCATGAAGTTCAGCATGTAGCACACCTGGTACACAACAGCATCGCCCATGATGTACATCGCGTGATCAGGAATGCCGATATACAGATTCCAGCGCTCGACGATGACGATGTCAAACACGCTTGCAAAGACCTGGACCAGCGTGGTGATAATCAACGTTACACGGTAGCTCTGCTTCGAGAAGACGCGCGAGAACATGTACACACCGAAGAGACCGGCAACGTTGCCGATGACCGCGCCGACGGTGTTGTAGAACGTCTGCGAGAAGTGGGGGCCATCAGGAAGACAGTCTGCGTCTGCCATGTAAAAGTTGTCTGTCGCACCGGTGATAACGAAGTAGGACACGAGCTGGCACCACCCGAAGAAGTTCGCCTTCATGATCGTCACCGGGATGCAGATGAAGCCGGCCACGCACAGCACAACGGAGATCACCACGCAGCCGTACAGCAGCTGATAGGTCGTCCCGACGATGTCGAGAATGGTCAAGACGATGACACCCGCAGTGAGGACGACACCGTAGACTGCGACGGAGGCGTTGCGTAAGATGACTTCTTTATTCACGCCAAAAATGCCGCACATGCACGTCGGCACCTCGAAGTCAACGTCCATCGCCTCCTCCACCTCCTCTGCCTCGTTATGTAGCTCACCAAACTGCACCAGCTCGTTCGGGCCGTCTTCCTGAAAACTGAATGCACTGTTAAATGGTGGCAGAACCTTCTCGCTGTCCGGTGCGTTGCCGTAGACGACCATGCCGTCCTTGACGGACTCCGAGCTCATCTCCTGCTGCCTCAGTGCCTCCTGTTTCAACAGAAACATGTGATCCTCGCGGCGCTCCACGGCGTTTTTCTTCTCACCGTACCAGTTGAAGATGAAGAAGAACACACACACCGCCTGCAAAGCGGCGGAGAGGACGATGCAGACGGTGGGACGGCCAGAGTCCGACAGCGGTCCCTGGATGGCTGGGGCGATAATCTGACCCACAATGATCAAAGCCCAGATCCACGAAATGAGATCGGCACCCGGGACAGGTTGGCGTTTGATCAGGCGGCTGTAGTGGCCTTCCGACAGTACGTCGATGTTTGCAACGCAGAAAGACGATAAAAAGATCATCGCACCTGCGATCCCGGCGCTCGACTCTTTAAATGGCAACACGCCGAACACCACAGAGCACACGGCTCCGGCGATGCACGAGAGCGCCATGTACCACCGCTTCGTGTAGCCAAAGAAGTAGAAGGTGTCGCTGAGGACGGCGGTGAGCGGCTTGATGGAGAAGCCCATGGAGCTGATGCCATACATGCGCTGGTACACCTCCGGCGTGACACCGTACTTCTCCATGAACATCGCGTACTGGGCGGTCGTCAGCAACGTCTTGCCGACGCCTTTGCTGAGGACGTAGACCACGCCCAGCGACGTCACGCACTTGGGCCCGAAAGGCTCCACTGCGGTGCCGAAGATGGGGATCGCCTTTACGCACGGCACGACGGAGAAGAGCGCTGCGGAGTCAGGGTGGACATAGCCGACTACTCCCTCTTGAGAAGCTACCGGAGTTGCGAAATTGGCTGCGTTCCCGCTCACCGCATTGGCCGCATTCTACTCGACGATGAAAGCTGAGAGGTCAAAGATAAAAAAGGAGCTTTTATCCCTCAATTAGAAAAAAGGAGGGCTTATGTTTTGCGGTCTTCGACAAGTGTTACGCACGTACAAAGACAAACACGAGTGTGAACGGCGACAGCAGGCCCTCCAGAAAGAAAGGAGTAAAACAACAGGAGAAAGCATCAACAGCAGAAGTGGTCCTGTTTATGTTGGGCAAATGCGCAGAGGCCGAAAAAAAAAGTGTGCTTCACGGTGCTGTTGAGCGCCCGTGAACTCGATTCATCTTGGTCAAGTAGCGCATTGGTGCTTCGGCAAGCGCTTGGGTTTTCTCGAACGACGAATACGAGAACTTTTCCTTTATATCGCTGCCTTGTAGAGTCTTGACAAACGACACTTGGTGCGCCGCAAAACAAGGAGAAAAACACCACATTTATTGCAACCAGATGAAAGTCCTTATCTATGCTGCCAGCCCGTATTTACCAGGCATTAACGCCTTCACTACTGGTCCACATCTTGCGCCGCATCAAAACCTTTTTCCAATTTACTAGGCGGTAGATTTATTATTCTTTAAACACAAACAAAATACAACTTCGGGATCTTCGCTTACTCCGTATGGTGAGCGTTAATGCCCCTTGACACCCATTTCATAAATTCGTCGATGAAGATGACAGGCATACTCAGCACCAGCACCATCTTCCAATCCGTGAAGTCCGTTGGAATCAGCACTTCCCACGGCTGCGCACCGGCGACAACTTCGGGGTCCACTCCGAGTGGCGCAATGCCAAAAAGGGTTGCGAAGAAGGGAATGTACATAATGGTGAGGTGGAGCGCAATGGACGACGCGATGGCAGCAATGAGCCACTTGTTTGTCGAAGGGCGAGTAACTACCAATGACTGATTCTCGCTCAGCGCGTTCAGTGCATTCAACATCTCGACGACAACGAGAATAGAAAGAGCAATTGAGCGCGCGGCCTCAGGGTTGGCAAGGATGACGCATTTCTCGTTTTGCATGTCAACGCACGTCGTGAACGACGCAATGTCAGTCCAGGTGAAGCCGTTTGTGATGAACCACCACACAAACCCGGCAACCGTGGCGAGACCAATATACACGCCGACCACCATGTAGCGGAAGAACAGCCAGCCACCCACGATGGGCTCATCCACGCGCCGTGGTGCCTGCTCCATAATGTCCGGGTCCGGCTCGTTGAATCCCAGTGCAGTGGCGGGCAGGCCGTCTGTAACGAGATTTACCCACAGCAGCTGAATCGGCGACAGAGCTTCAGGCAGGCCGCACAGACCTGTAGCGAGAACGCACGCCACTTCGCCAATGTTGCTGCTGATGAGGTAGCGAATAAACTGCTTGGTGTTGTTGAAAATTGTGCGGCCTTCGCGAACCGCTTTCACCACCGTGGCGAAGTTGTCATCTGCGAGCACCATTTTGCTTGCCGCCTTCGCCACCTCCGTGCCTGAGCCCATGGCAATTCCAATGTCAGCTTTCTTCAGAGCGGGAGAGTCGTTGACGCCGTCACCGGTCATCGCGCAGATGAGTTTCTCGTCCTGCAGCAGGTTCACCAATTGCATCTTGTGAGACGGGTCTGTGCGACTGAAAAGCACGCCGTTGTGCACCGCGAGACGCTTCTCTGCGAGTGACATCTGATCGAACTCGTCACCGGTGAAGCTGAGACCCGCGGTCGCGCCGTGCGCGAGAAGCCCGATCTTGCGACACACCGCTTCTGCAGTCTCCTTCTTATCACCAGTGATAACAACGACTCGGATGCCGGCTGTGCGGCATTTCGCGATGGCATCTGCAACTTCCTGTCGCGGGGGATCGAGCATTCCACAGAAACCGACAAATGTGAGGTCGCTCTCCACCGACTCGAACTTGGCAGGATCTGACAAATCCAACTTCGCGGGATCAGCGATGGGGCGGAAAGCAAACGCGATGCACCGCAGAGCATCCTCGGCGCCTGACATGTGATTGATCATTCCCGTCATCATCTCCACGGATATCTGCTTAAGCGGAACAATTTGTCCATTAGACAGCATCAAACGAGAGCATCGCTTCAGGACCTTCTCGGGTGCGCCTTTGACAAACAGAGCGTGCATGCGTGCGTCTTGAGTGGAGGTGCAACACGTGCTCATAGACTTGCGTGAGCGAGTGAACTCGAGCGTAGCATCCTTTCTCCACGCCTCCCTTTTGGCGGCTCTGTATTTCTCCAGAGGCAACGAGGCGCCGGCGCCAGCGGCCTGCGCGCTGTTTTGCGCTAGTTTCTCGCTCATCGTGAGGAGAGCAGCTTCCGTGGCTTCACCGATTTTTTCTGCATCTCCAGACGACCCGTGCGCACTGAGTGAGGCATCGTTGCACAGGACAGCTACCGTCGCCAGCATGTCGACCGCGGCATCTTCATCCAGTACGTTTTCCACCAGTGCACCGTTGCGAGAGACGGCGCCGGGCACCACATTAAATTTCGAGTCATGAATGTCGTACGTGCGAAGACTAGAGATACTCTCCGCTGTCACCACCTTCGCGACGGACATCATATTGGTGGTGAGTGTCCCTGTCTTGTCGGAGCAAATCACTGTGCAGCGCCCAAGCGTCTCTACGCTGGGAAGATCCCGCACGAGAGCGTTATGCTGAGCCATTTTGCGTGTGCCAAGTGCGAGACAAGTTGTGACGACGGCGGGAAGGCCCTCAGGGATGGCGGCCACAGCCAGAGCAACAGCCACCTTGAGGGAGTGAATGACGGGATGGATGTAGCGCTCAAACCAACGCTCGCTTTCTGCCGGTGTGTGCGTCTTGAACCAATGCAGAGTATTGACCACGAAGACCAGCAGACATATGTAGCCGATGACCCTAGAGAGCAGCACGCCAAACTCGTCCAGTTTCAGCTGCAGCGGCGTCTTTGTCTCCTCTTGCTCACGCACATCGCGCTCGATTGCGCCGATTTCGGTCGAAATACCAGTGCGAACCACAACACCGCGAGCTTTACCGTAGACAACCGCGGTTCCGCGATAAACCATGCTTGCCGGAAAGCGATTTCGTTTTCCATGAACTGCCTCAACTTGCTTCATCGTCTCTACCGACTCACCGTTCAGAATAGACTGGTCAACGCGCAGAGTGGTACTCTCCAGTGCCAAAACGCGCATGTCGGCCGGGACGCGGTCCCCGACGGCAATTTCGACGACATCACCTGGCACAAGGTTTTCAGCGAGGACCACACGAGCAGCGCCACTTCGAATGACGACAGCCGTTTCAGGAACAAAGTCTTTCAAGGCGTCAATTGCCTGATCTGCTCGGTTTTCTTGCCACACGCCAACAATAGCGTTTAACGTGAGAATAAGAAGAATAATAAACGGTTCCACGAAATCGATTAAATTGCTTTCCAAAACCGCCGTGATGAAGCTGATCAGCGCCGCCATGAGGAGTATGCGCACAAGCATATCGTCAAACTGTGCGGCGACCAGCTTCCAAAACGGAGTTGGTGGCTCTGCAGGAAACTCATTTTTGCCGAAGTGGAGAAGTCGATTTTTTGCCTCAGTTTCTGTCAAACCTATAGATTCGTCAACTTCCAACTGCTTGCAGATGACCTTGGAAGCCATCGCAGACGGATCATCTGGAAGAAGAAGGTTGCTCATTTTTCTGCGCTTTAAGAATGAAATCAAAAAAACTTTGTTGTAAATTTCAAAGATACAAGGCTATGTGTGAATAATACCAAGAAACACCGCAATAGAAAAACTGTGTTTAAAGAGTAGCGTTTCGAACGTTATCTCGAATTGGTATCATCATCAAAAACGCGCACGAAAACGCAGATTTATTAGCAACAAAAAGAGGTTGAGGAAAGAGAAAATCAGACAGTAAATGGAACAGGAGGAAACTATAAATAGATAAATTAACACCGACGTTAATTTGCGTGTCAGATGCTACGGTGAACACAGTACCCTACGCAGTACGACTAAGAGCATCGATGATAGTACAGATCTTTGTTGTCATTCAGCAGAAGATTTCTTGTCAGCTTCCACACCTTTCCTTCACATAGGGCTTCACTAATAAAAACAGAATTCAAGAAATCTACGCAATCAGTTGACGATCCGATCGTACAGATTGAGAGAGCTGCTTCCGTTTGAACACAACATTGTAAAAACGGAGTACATGCATTAGCAACTAATGCAATCAATATTGCTGACATTGAAACATACAAAAAGGCACCACGCCGTTGTTAAAACTTGACATGATAACTCATTCAGTTGTAAAACGGTGAGTACAACAGAATAAGATGAATCGTGCGCAAACACGACATAATTACAAGACTGGGCTCATGTCATTCTTTTTTTGTACTGAATGCAATGGATAAGAGTTGCCATACTTGTCATCAGAACACGAAACTTGAACAAATATGAACATATCAGCCGCTTATGGCTGTTTTTCCCCAGTTTTCCTCTGACAATAGAGAGAGAACCACTTAGTAGCCAGAAAAAAAAAACGGCAGCATTTTTAATGCGTATGACCTTAAACAAACGAAGAATCGTTTTCACGACCACTTCCCTAGCAACTCTGTCGCAAAGCTGTGAAGTTTGTTAAATGACAAGGCCATGATAAACACCAAGAGATAACCCAGAAAAAAAAATGCTACACTCTTCAACGGTTGTTAAAAAGTACAGCCAGGAAGAGCTCTTCTGCGAATTGAAGAATTGAGGAAATCTTCATTATCTTGAACAGTAGGAGGCTACAGTTCCTGCATCGGAGGCAACGTATTGCAAGCCAATCGTGTAAACATGATTGCCTTTATGTATGTGAAAACAACAACTCTATTGCTAAACCGAATTTTCACAAAACAGAAAAAGTTGCAACGCTATTAAACGTTCGGATCAAAACGTTGAAACCTAACGCTTCCTGCGCATCTCCCTCATACTAGCAATCATCAAACGACTGATGATCTGAAGAGTTTAAAATGGGCACCACTCCAAGCAAGTGCGTTGCTTTCGTTTTAGAGATCAGGCTTAATATTTGCAGGCAGCGGTCAATTACCGAGCATACATTTGACACTCTCAGAGGGTACAGCAACTTCAGATAATTTGGCTCTTGAAACCCGCAGATTGCGAGTTTCCGATACAATTAACCTTCAACATGCTGTTCGTCAAAACAAGGATTGCTTCTGCAGTTGCCGGAGCAATTATGCGTGTATTTAAAGAACTCGCGCCTATTCGTAATGCTGATCTGCCCGATCGGAAAAAAACACCTTTTTATTCAGCCGTTTGAAGCAGCTCCATGACCAACGGTTTCTATCTTTTGTAGTATTCAAACCCTGAAGAAACAAGGATCTCCTTCGTGCGGAGCACGACTAGCAGCCAACCAAACAAACCAAACTACAAAGAGAGCAAAGAAAGCTATCGTACAAGTCTGTTAATGTTCCTATTTCGGCACGATGTGAAACAGCTTCAAATAAGGAGCAAGTACATCAAATAATTTGACGAGCAAGACCTCATATTAAAATCAATTTCCCCATAGGAAAGGTTCGTCCGACAGGCCATTTTTGACTTTTTTGGAAGCCACCAAATTCCAGTTTTCAATCACTAGTACACGAATTCCAGACATGTGTAACGTCCTGACGTGCCTTAACTTCAGAGAATACGTTATATCAGTTGGCTTCTTCAGCGCCATACAACCAACACGACGCCACTTCAACTAAGCAGATAATCCACGCAACTGACACTAAAAAACGAGAGAGAGCCTATCGTAACCTCGAAACACCAGCAAAGGACTAACGCAGTCGTCAACCTAATAATGCATTTGATAAAGCAAAGTTGCACCTCGTTGCAGCGTTAATATTGTTGCGTTCGTCATGAACACACGCATGCCAGAAAGCGATAAATTATAAGTTATTCTTTCTGTGACTTGGTTTTGCGACGCCCTTTGCGCAAACCTTCCTCATTCAAAAAATGAGACGGTTCAGCCACAACGACTTTGCGACGACCAGAACCCGACATTATTGCGATAATACTCTCACATTTACTCTCCTCTTTATTAAAACGCGCATTCTTCCGACAAAGAGTGAGATGTACAGGTTGGTTGGAGCAGATCCGTTCCTATTCCATTATATCCTCATCAGTCCAAATATCATTTGCAACTCTTGCTTGAGGTTTGCGTCTGTTTCTAGCTACGCCTCCCAACCTTTTCCCGTCCGTACGGTTCATAAGGTATACGCTTCTGGGCTTCCTTTAAGTATCACGTGTCAGCTCCCCTTTTTTGAGCCACACCAATGTGCTTCGAAAGGGAATAAAAGATTGCAACACGGAGGTCTTTCGCTGCTCCATGGACCTGGGTGTGCTCTATGGGAGAGGGGGGCGGGGGGGGGGGTAGGGGGGCTCTTACGGCGGGGTTTCACGCCGGACTCCCGAGGCGGCGCGGGGGCCACGAGCGTCCGTTGCCTGAGCTTTTGCGTCACGGAGCTCGCCAACATCGATCCTATGTACCAAAACTCGCTGCAGTCCTACATGTCCATCTTCCAGGAGGCGTTGATGAACAGCGCCAAGTCGAGCGAGGCGGAAGAGCGCACCGAGGCCATCAACACCACCTTCAAGCGCAGTCTGTACCAGCGAATTTGCCGGTCCCTCTTCGCGCGGGATCAGCTGCTCTTCTCCTTCACCATGTCGCTCAAGATCTACGGTGTGGACCCGACGCTGTTGCGCTGGGTGCTGATGGGCGGTTTCGAGGATGAAGACCACCACGCCGTGCCGAACCCTTTCACGTGGCTGCCGGAGTTGATCTGGAAGCTGTTGCGCCGCGCGGCGACGCAGTTGGACGGCTTCGCTCACTTGACGGAGCTGCTGCAGCAGCATGCGATGTTCTTCATGGACTTCTACGAGTCTTCGAACCCGCTAGAGCTGGAGCTGCCCGGTGTGCTGAACGACATGTCGAGCATAGAGAAGCCGGTCGTGGTACGATGTCTGCGCATGGACAAAGTGGTGCCAGCCATCCGCAACTACGTCAGCGACCGCACGGCAACAGGCAATGGAGACGAGCAGGGGCGAAGAAGGGGTATGAAAGGGAGCTGACTCTTGCCGGGAGTTTGTTGAGAGACAGGCGGCCGCCACCACGATAGCGGAGGTGAACAGAGCACCAGCGCGACAGAGAGGCATGACACAGTGAGGGCTGCGACGGTTGCGGCGATGTCTGTGCCAGATGTGGTGGTGATCGACTCGAGGGGCTGGCCACGCCGAACACAACACGGCCCACTACAAGGCATGAGAGCCGGACCCTTTACTGAGCCAACCGGCAGGCGAGCAACGTGTACAGGGGAGTAGTAGTCCATCTGTGGGCTGTTACCTTGCTGGAGACGTGTGACGATGGCGATTCCCACGGCTTAGGGGTAGCCGCTCTGGGAGTGCTGCGAGTGCGGCCCAAACTGGGGAATCTGCCGCTGTGCACCGTGCGGGGGACGCTGACACTGCTCCGTCTGGTGCGTGTGTGTGGCCTGCCGGTGAGTGGCTGCGTGTGGTGTATGGCTGGACGGGTGTGCTGTGGGGTGAGCGTGCTATAGAGGGCTCTCTGCTGCTGAGTGTGCGGGGCTGTAAGAGACGGAGGGAGCAACATAGCGCATGTACATGGTGGCGTGGCGTGCGCAACCTGCCGTCATGAGCTGTGTGCGTTGGTGTTGGGGCTGCCATGGTGTGGGTAGGGGTT